TTATACATCTTAATTACAGAATAAAATTAGAGAATGATTATTGTAATAATTCAAGCCTATTAATTAATTCAAGTCGGATTAAATTAAATTAAATTTAAAACATGAAAAAAAAAAACATGTCAATTATGTGCAATGAATTACTTTTCATTCTCATTCTATTTTTATGAATAATATTATTGATTTATCGTTCTTTATCCAAGATTATTCGAATTACTTGTATTTTTGGTATATCATAACTCGCTATGTTTCTAAAAATTTTGTTTCAGCTTTATCTCGTTTTTTTTTTATCGTAATTTTAATGGATACTTGTGAATATGAAAATTTACATTTTTCTTAGAAATGAAGTATCTCACAATTTTTTCATTTATTGTAAATATATTATCTATTTACACATCGAACAATTGTAAATCATATATTCTTTTATTATTTTTTTGTAAATAAAACCAACGATACGAAATCAGAAAATTTTTATCGATTTTTTTTTCTTCTTTTTTTTTTTCATTGAAGTTTCAATTCTTATAATAATTTTGAAAATATTTCCAAAGGAATTCATAATATCTGCAAAGCTCTTTTGTTTTTAATGTATAGCTTCAACAGATGTGTATTTTATTTTCAGATAAATTTTTATACCAATTTTATACCAAGCATAGTACAGAATATATAAGATTTTTAAAGCTCTGGCCACATAATATAAAAGCACGAAGTATATTTCATGAATATTCAGTGAAATATCATTTTATATTCAATATGATTAATCTTTTGAAAGTAAAATCTGAATAGAACTTTATATTTTTCTCATATAAATAAATAAATAAATATATGTATATATATAAAGAGAGAGAGAGAGAGAGAGAGACATTATATTTTATATTGTTTATATAAATACATAGACTTATTGTTGATAATCAATGATAAAGTGATTATAGGATATTATACAATGAAATTTTGAAGGTATGAATGTACGTTAAAGATTTTTAATTTATAGCTTCTATCAAAATTTCTCTATTTATACTCGTTAAATCTATTGGTTGGAATCAATAGACAGCGGGAACATACATTAAGAAGCGTTCTCACAATATCATGAGAATAATATATTTATAGCTTATAACTTCTGCATAGTAAAGTAATCTCATGTTTAGATGTCAATGCTCACATTTATTATTCATAAACGCAATATTTGACGGACGATGCACTGACTTTGAATTGCCACTCTAGATTTCTATTGTAGATAGCCTCAGGAATTTGTTGAATTGAATGGAATCTGCCTCGATGCTTTAAAGGGTGAAAACTGAGAAATGGAAGGAATTTCATCAGAATTGCCGAGATTACCTACCGACCTTGTTTTCTCGCGTTAATTGATCATATTAACCTACAAAGAGGAACACTTGCTATTCTTTGTTGCTTAACTTTTTCACTCTTATGATAAGACAGGCTAATAAAGATAAATAGTGAAGGTAATAAAATAAGGGATAAATATATCGTTTAATTTCGATCTATCTAGCTAGCATAAATAAACATGCACGCACGAACGCACGCACGCACGCACGCACACACACACGCACACACACACGCACGCGCACACGCACACGCACACACACATATATATATATATATATATATATATATATATATTGAGAGAGAGAGAGAGAGAGAGAGAGAGAGAGAGAGAGTGAGAGAGTATTAAACAAGGAAAGAGCAGTAAAGAAAGAAATATATTGAGAATGAGGGTGTTTTTTGTATTTGGTTAATTGAAATGAATGATACAAATAAATGTCGAGAAATTTCGAATACTATTCCATTTCCTTTTACGTTGTATTCGAAAGTAGGGAAATCAAGTCTTGTAAGCTTGGTTAAGTGCAAGATAAAAATTGGTTGCATAATGGCTCATAATGCCGTTTAAGCGAATAGTTTCTTTTAATGAAATTTACGAGTTCAATAACTATTTTTAATTATATTATTGTCTCGATTATTATTCCATTACCGATAAAAGAATTAGACTTTCCGTTTACTGTAAATTCCTTTGTAAATGCTACACTTTATAAATAAAATAAAATTATATTAATGAGAATGTGGTAAGCGGAGAGGCTTCCGACACTCAAAATCGACTTATTATTTTATCTTATTATTTTTACACGATTATCTTCGTACTGATATTTTTCTTACTTGTTAGCCGGTCAATAAAATCGCGGTAAAAGTTATAGATTGTGTTGAGTTTAAAGTATACATTCTTGTTTATTGAATTTGTATTCTAAGAAAATCTCGATGCCTTAACAAGTAATGTTTTTAATAGATTTTGCGCTTTCAAAGCAACGAAAGTTTTGATTTCTTAAAATAGATTTTCTCTGACTTACACTTTGTCTAGTGGTATTTAATCGAACCGCACGCTGCTAACTTTGTTGGCATACTAAATGCGACTGTGTGTGGTCTACTAAAGTTGGGTCGATAGGAGAAGTATTTTCCTATGCACATCCGAATTTGGTTAAACTTTGAGTATATTAGACTATAAATTGAATTTAAATTTTATAGCAACTGCATCTTAAATAGAATGTTTTGATTTATTAAATTTCATTCAAGATGATAATGTATAGTAGGAATTTTCATTCAAATAGCATTCGAAATAATTGCAAGAAATCTTGCTTTACAATGTTTCTCTAATAAAACAATCACACAGCGTTGGTATTTATTCCTAATATTAATTGTTTCCCTAAATTTAAATGGTTAAATTATCATTCTAATTTGTATTACGATTTGTGTTAAAAATACAGCACAAGCAGAAGGTTTTGTAAGTAATTTGAACGACTGGAATTTTGTCAAATAGCTCGGTATAGTATGAGTTACACATTGCCAAAAATTATCGAGAGCTTCTCGCTGATATACAGGATTATTATTATTTCGTACTCGATCATCCTGAGCAGCCATTTATCAACTCCCGATGGCTCTTATAAATCACGCAGTCAGTTGTCTTAAGATAATAGGCCCCTGCTGAGTATTATTCACCCCCTCCCTACACCCGACCATAATAATCCTATAATATTTGTAATATTAATCTTCGGGATTGGAAATTTTGGCTTTCCTGCAACGAAATCATTTTCGCGTTAAGAGCTCACGTTCGCAGACATTTCGCGGTCGTCATTCACAGCCTTTAGCATGACTGAGCACTGAGATGAGGTTAGTATTGGATCGAGAGTTAGAATATCGACGGCAGGAGACGAAGCCGAGTCGTTCCATTTTCGTCAATAGCATGCGTGAATGTGCGATCCCTCGCGACATTTGGCGCGACTTTTCCATCAACCTTATCGGCACTTTTCGAAACTCGACTTTATCATTTTGGATCGCTAAGGTCGCCATCGACGCCGAAATGGAAAAACTCTTCCAGGAAGGCTATAGTGAAAATCACGTCTCGACTCCTACCACCTGTATGTTTATATATCTGGGATTGTCGGTATGAAGCGAGTTTGGCGCGCGCGCGTTATCGGAGCTCTTTCTACATTTTGTAAACAGCGCACGTCGCTTTTTACGTTCCACCGAAAGCGAAATCTACTTTAATTCGCTAGCGCGCTTCGGGAAATTTCTTTTATTTAATAAATATAATAAATATAAGCAGCAAGGAGAGATTAATTTAATTTTTCCCGATAATAAGAGTGCACGAGATGCGTCGCTGGTAGGCATAAATATTAATTCGTTCAATAAATGCGGTCAGTTAAAAGCAGCGCTCTACATTATCAATTAGATAGCGACATTATGTAAGAGTCTAGGCAGTTGTTAAACATAAGAGTGCAAAAAAAAAAAAAGTTAATCCGATCGTTAATCCGAGCGCGTATTTTTCGATGTAATTGTAATTACAAAATATTCAAAATCGTCGTTCGCCTTATCGGCGGATAATCTTGAAATTCTTGAAATTCTTGAAATTCGCCGTGCGAAAATGTAATCGCGCATGAGCAAAGGCGAGCAAAGAGTCTATGCATTCCCCAACCTCACACGCGCTATAAACTTGAACATTATGAAAGGGTTAAGCAGCTGTACGATTATCCCGATAGGAAGCTGAAATTCCAAAGCGCAGGGAGAAAAGTGTCAGGTGCTCGCGAATATCCTGATATTTACAGTCAGTCGACAGAAATGACCGCACGACGGCGGAAACTGAAGTACTATAACGGCACTGACGAGCTCTCGG